GTATGGGGATAAAGATCGACTTGAATATCGAGAGCTTAGTTTTCAGACTGAGCGCTGCTTTAGTCACAATCGGTCGGGCTAGTTCAGGCAGAACGCCACTGGCTGCTCCAATTCACCAGTCGATCTCTTCCTCCAATTTTCCATCACTAGTAAATACAGTTTCGAGGTACTTGAACTTCTCCACCTGTGCCACTGCCTCTCCGTTAATCTGAAGAGAGCAACGGGCAGGAGAACGAGAAAGCACTACGCTTTTCGTTTTACAAGCGTTCACACGCAAGTTGGTCACGTCGCACTCAGCTGCGAAACTTTCTAAAGAGCACTGGAAATCAGTTTCAGAAGATGCTGATAAAACAAGGTCGTCCGTAAACAGCAGCGTTCTCGACATCGCATCTCCTACACTGATACCCTTATCGCTTTGGCGGCTGCTGACAATTCTATCCATGCACAACACAAACAGGACAGGGGACAGGACGTAGCCTTGGCGGAGACCAGTGCGAACGTTGAATGGTTTCGACTTAGCGCCATTTACTCTGACGCAGCACCTGCTATCAGAATACAGTGATTGGGTGGTCCTTAGCAGCTGACGATTTATCTCTATGTACGAAGGTAAGTCCACAGACTGTTGCGTGGGATCCGGTCACAGGCTCTTCTATGTCCATAAAACACATGTACACCGAATGGGCGTACTCCCGCGATTTCTCAACAATCTGGCGCAGGGCAAATATATCATCAGAAGTGCTTTGACCGGGCCGGAAACGCCACCTCTTCTCGGATCTTGCGGTCAACTATTTCGCGGCACCTCCCTTCTAGCACCTTTGCGCAGGCTTTACCTGGCAGGCTCAATAAACTTATGTCCCTATAATTCGAGCATTCCTTGTGATCTCCCTTCTTGAATACGAGTACAATAACCCGTTCTCCAGTCCACTAGTGTCTTTCCTGCAGTCATCGCAGTTTGACAGACACGTGTTAGCCAGCTCATGCCTTGTTCGCCTAATGCATTGAGCATCTCAGAGCGGATTTCAGCAATTCCAGCAGCTTTTCA